CGTTTAAACGTTTTAAATCCAACTAAAGAGGAAAGAAAAATGTAACTATTATTACGAACAAAATAAAAGTCCAATTAAAATGTCAACACATTTTGCAATATTTCGTAATATTGTATGAATACTCGAAATAGGTACTCGAAATAGGTAGTACCTAAAAATAATAAAATTATATTATCTCAACGCGATCACGGTGACAACGTCAGATACATAAAAATTTGAAAAATGATWGACCTGTTAATTTTTTCCATACATGCTAGATGCTTCGAATGAACAACTTCGCCGTTTGTATAAAATATATAAATTAGATACAAAACTTTGTACTCAGTTCTGTCGTTTAATGAGTGATGCATTTTTATCACCTAACGATAACGCTCAAACTCGCAACTAATTTGCAAAATAATTACATATTTTTCGAATTGATAGAACAAAGTCTAGAGTTCAACTTCACTACCTACAGAAAGTTTGTTATAAGCCGCTTACAGTTCACTTTAAGTTAACTTACACTAACCCACATTATAAAAACTTCGCATAACCGAATCACTGGGTACCAAGTGATTATAGATTATTTTATTATAATATGTATGTTCCCGTTAGGTACCTTTAATATAAAAGTATTTATAGTAATTTTTTATTCTAAAATATTTTACAGGATACACATAGGTTACTAACGATCCCTCTCGGCGATGTCTATGCCAAATAATGGGCCCGTGAAACTAGCCGARGGGATAAGGATTGAGGTTTTATGATTTTGCGAACAGTATACATATTATTCTACTAGAAAAGTGTTTTCGGAAACAAAAATATAAAAACACGTAATTTTAAATGTAAAATCTATGTACTCATAGCAATACACTCATAAGTATAATAGTCACTATTTTGACACTGGAAATCGATTGACATATATCATCTCTACTCGTATAATATTTTCTTTTTATTAAAATCATCACAACTTACAAAAATGTAATTAAAAATAAAATATACATATATTATACGAGTGGATGGATATGCCGATCGGTTGCCATTATATTATCATACACTTGATGATTTACGGTAAAGGGGCTTTGCACCTCGAACAACTTAGGCCGAGTTCAATAATCTCAACGGACGGTTATTTTTTTCAAGCGTTCCCCCAACGCTCAATATCTTTTTTTTTCTATATTCCGAGCACTGAATACACGATATTACGATATAGCACGCACCTCCGTGTATGTGTAACTACCGCCGGCGATGTCACAGCGATTTATCACTTGCCGTATAATAGTCGTACGCGACGATGATCGCCGCGATCTATTATAAAGTATAAAAAATACCGACGCCGCACGTGCGCCGCTCACAAGTGCGTGATTTACGCCGCGGTTTACAGAAACAAACTCGACAAATATAATAATATTATCATATTATATGAACGTTAATCATCATCGTCGTATTATTAAACACTGTATCGGAAATATTACTTTTTTTTCCTATTATATACTATATTACCTAAGATGGTGTATTAAGCCGACGTCCGCCTGACGATGGCGTCAGAGTGTCGACTGATCACGAGATTTATAACATGGAAACAATACAAAATATACATTTTATTATTATTATATATCATATACACATTATAAGATCAAAGACTCCGATTGACTTGGGATAAATCAATTATGCATGTTAAAAGTTACAAACGATTAACAGTGAAAAAAAACTCTAAGAAAACATTAATAATTATAACCGTAACCACCCTAAAAACGTCGTATGAGCGAGCATAATAACAATAAACACGTTATGACTTGTATATATATATCACGTGTTTAGGTTACTTAGGTGTATATACATATAATAGCTATTATATATCATACGGTTATGACCAGACAAGTCGGAACAGTTCAGAGCCGATCTTTTGACTGAACGCATATTAATATGACCGGTCMCCGGTGCCGGTTTCGAGATCAATCGTCGACCGCGCAATGTAGGATCCTCACGATTCATGAATTATTGTCGACCGGTAAAACTGTACACTATAATATTATAAAAATAATAATATTATATTGTGTCGTGTGTGATATGAAAATAAAGATTAATTGACACATTTCGAATCACTGCGGCGATCGATTGGAAATACAATAGTTTCTTAAAATAATTCACCTAACTAAAATTTTTTATACTGTATATAATATATTAATATATATTATCAAAGGTTAGGCTAGGTTTTCAAACTTCTAAAAAATGGCTTTTCAACACGATAATGCTCTTAAGTTAAGTACCATGAAATTTTTTTTCTAATGGATTCAACTGTTCAACCAATAAGAAAACGATGATGGATTAACTTTTGAAATTTTTAACATTTTTATTTCAACTAAA